ACATTAAATAATATTAATTTCCTTTAATACTAGTATATAAACTGAGAAGTTGTTTATTAATAAGAGCACTTTCTTTTTTTGAGCTCTCATTAAATTATCAAACCATATAAAGTATTCAAGAAAGATCTTATTTCTTATTTAAGTCTTTTTATTAAATCGATATTTAACTTCTAAATTATTAAGATTTGTAAACCTAGCCATTTTAAATATATTAAGCATTTTAGTTATATTTATTATCCAAAAGAGGAGCTTATCAGTTCCAGAAATATTTATAATAAAATTGAATATAATTCTAACTTTATCCTGCTTTTTGCTTAGTATATCGAAAATAATAAGAATACATTCCAACCTGGATTTCCAGAAAGTAACTATTTCGTTGCAATTGTAGATATCGTTTATATAATATCGTATATATATATATCGAATTTCTTTTATTCTAATCTCTAATTCCACATTTATTTAAATTGATAAAGCTTCTTCGAATTAATGCTTTTCCTACATACTTGCATACATTTTAAAGCTATATAAAAACCCATTTGATTATATCTTATTTTCCTTAAAAGGCAAAGGTAACCCTTTATATTCAAAAAGCTTTTGTTAGAGCTTTATAGCTTTTATTCATAATATATTGCCTATAATAGATTCTACATCAAAACAATAATTGTATTATATCTGCTATTTAAGTAGGGCTTCTTCGAGAGTAGAATAAAGAGGTTTTCAGTTTTTTAAAGAGATTAATTGATATTTCGAAAGATCTTGTAAATCAAACTATATATATTCAAAGCTCAATATACAGCTTAAGATTTGTTTTAGAAGATTATTACTATACATAGCTCTCCATTATATGATAGCATCTCCATAAGTCCTTTTACCATATTTAGAATCCTACTATTAAGTTCTTAAAGCTTTGTATTATTGATTCGTATAAAAAATTCGAAAAACAATATAACCATAGCGTTTTATAGACTTTTTAAATAACAATAACAATACTATAGGGATATTTTCAACACTTTCAAAAAATTCCATTTTAGATTAATAAAATTTTATATAAGGGCATCACCATAAATAGAACCGTATACTCTTATATAAGAGTATACCCGTATAGATCGATTTCACCATATAAAATTTTTTGAGGTTGAAAAATATGCCCATATAAAGGGGATTCCCGTATGGCCCGTGCCCGTATATCCAGGTTCATCTGTATAAAGATCACTCCTCAAAGAGGATTGTCTGTCCACTATAATACAGGGGTTTTATAGTGGGAGCACATGGGGGCTGTCCCACTCGAAAATCATTCCCATTTTTTTTATACTGAATATCCAAAGATGTACCACAGAGTTGCTTCTATTCGAGGACATGGCCCAATCAATTATGTGTATTGATGATATATTCGAAAGAGATTCTGCTGAAGGGCTTAATAGCCTCGATCATTGGATAACATCCCGCCGTCAGATAGCTCTCCGCTACTTGATTGGATTCGTGTTGGCGGCTGGAGCTGAATAAATGAATAAACAAGCCCACCAGGCCCTTCACTTGAGGGCAGGTTATAGCGCTCCGATAATATCTCTGGTCAGGATTCATCCATTCACAAGCATAATCCAGCGGCAGCAGTAAGCCTTGCAGATTGACAATTGACGGTCATAATCAAAATCGAATCCAGGGAGTGATAGGAAAAGTTAGGAGCTCTTGGTATGTACGAAGTAAAGAAAACAGAACAGACCCGGTATCTGCTAGCCCAAACTTATCATGTGCGACTGGTAACCCGCACACCACGTTTTCGGTAGCGTGGTGGGTTTTCGTAGCTTGAAAAGCAGAAAGACGCGATGTGGAGCTTATCAATAGTTCAGTGGCAAAAGTAGTGAACGGCAATCTGCACCGAGATTGTCTTCACCGCAATTAATCCCCGCGTTTCCTCACGTACCGATAGGCAAATCCGAAATACAATGCTACGATAAAGTAGGGGTGTACATATTAATCTGGAATGGCGGCAATAAGCCATTAGATGGAGGATGAACTCCCTCGCACCTAGGTGATTTCGGTAACAACGTGTGTAGAAAAGTTTCGATAATTTATTTTACCGCCAAGGTTAGTTTTCTTCAAGAAGGTATGTAAATACACCTTTCCGTGCAATCATCATTGTTGGTCGGTTGTCGATTGCTTGCCATTCTGGTAATCAAGTAAAAATTATGGCGGGAGCTATCCTTGGTCTCATTCTTAGTCCGCTGTTTTTCGGCAACTGGGTTTCAGCCGACAACTTCATCCGCGATGTCGCGAGCGATGTAGTAGGGTGTGCTACAGTTGAAGCCATCTTCCCGGACAAAGTCTTTTACTCCAATAGTACCATTTACCAGTACGAAAACAAGAATTTTTGGTCTCAGACGGAATATTTGAGCCCTGAATGTGTCTTCCGACCTACGACTGCTAGAGATGTTGCTGCCGCAGTTGCACTCTTGGGGACGGCAGAAGGAAAGTTTGCTGTAAGAGGCGGTGGCCATATGGCAATCAAGGGGTCAAACAATATTGACAACGGCGTATTGATGGTCATGTCAAACCTGACGACACTGTCGATATCTGATGATTATAGCACTCTCTCTGTAGGGCCATCTCATAGGTGGGGGGAAGTATATAGTTATCTTCAGACCTACAATCGCGCTGTTCTCGGGGGTCGCTTAGCTTCAGTCGGTGTACCAGGGCTCCTTCTTGCTGGTGGCGTAAACTTTTATGGCAACCAGCATGGATTCTCTGCTGATATGGTCATTGGGTATGAGGTGGTCCTGGCAAATGGCACGATTGTATACGCAACCTCCAGCTCCTACGCCGATCTCTTCTGGGCGTTGAAGGGAGGCAGCAGCAACTTTGGTATTGTTACAAGATTTGATTTGAGAACAGTTCCATCGGAAGGAATTTGGGCTGGTATATACACCGTTGCACAGGAGTATATCCCGGAATTTTATGCGGTAAGCATGTTCTTTCTTACCGTTTGACAGAGATATGCTAAGAATCAAAGGCCATTGCAAACTACTCCACGAATATCGTCGATCCACTTTCTCACATTGTTCCTGCAGTCATCCCTGTTGACTCAACCACCTCTGTTGGCGCCGTCATCCTCTTCTATGATAGCACTGATATCAGCTACCCTGCTTGTTTTGAGCCTTTCACTTCTATCCCGAGTATTAGTAACACTTTGGACTTTAAGACCCTCACAGAATTTTCCCTCGAGACAAATACCGCTGTAACACCTAATATTAATGACGTGTTCGTTGCGGGAACGATCGTGGGCAAAACATATGCCGAGCTTCTTCAAGGAATAAAAATCATCAACGACACATTTTATTCAGCACTTCCTGAGCTGTATGCTCAGCTACCGGCAGAGAACATTTCCATCATCGAGCTTGACTGGCAGCCAATCGGTTCACTTTGGTTGAGTGCCTCTGAGGCAAATGGGGGTAATACGCTAGGTCTTGATTCTTCGAAGGGCACATACCTTTGCTGGGCGGAAGTTGTAGAGTGGATCGGATCATCTTATGATGAAATTGTTGCCGCCTGGGTCGAGAAAACAACTCATGCGATCAACAATGCTACGGAGGCGGCCGGGCTATACGATCCATTCAACTACATGGGCGATGCAGCTGGGTTTCAGAGCATTTTCCCTGGATATGGAGCAACGAATGAAGCCAAGCTTTTGTCTATTTCGAGAAAATATGACCCAACCAGACTTTTCCAGACATTGATGCCAGGAGGTTATAAAATTGGAGTTTAGGGTCAGCCATTATGTTCAAGAGAGCTTGTATATAATGTTGCGCAGAAGAACGCACAAAACGAAGGTACTTTTGATACAAAATGAGTCGTGATTATGTGAGTTGTCTCAGTTGCTTAAGGTCACCAGGTTAACTGGATGTTGATAAACATTATAAAATATTCGATGATGCCTCAGGCATCAAAGCGGGCTCTGATCCCGGATATTAGTCAGCCACCATGCCACCCTTCTGCGTTTGTCTTTTCTGCTTGTGTTCAACTACCTTCTAAAAGTACTCCGTAAGTACATCTATCGGAAGATACAGTTATATTATTTCAAGTAGTCATCTACTATTTCTATTTTGATGAAAGCACCCTCCCGACATATACATGCGTCGCGGTGTTCGGATTGTGATTTCGGAGGTCGTCACTAGATTCGATCGATGTTTCCACTCTTACCTTCTTCGAAGTTGGTATCTAAATACGTCTAGCAAATCAATATCTTTGATATCATGAGTTTATTCGGAGTTGCATGGAAATCTCTTTGCATGTATGGTGATGTATGGTCTAGGAACCATTTCCATTGCGTCCTCCATGTGTACCCTCCATTCCAGCTTCCTTTTCCGTCACATACGATTGATCCCAAAGTATGGGTACGCGTTGGTATTGGGTAAGCCCAAGTTGGGTGTTCACACTTCCATCGTCTAATCATAGCTATGGATAAAAGAGATCTGTCAATGGCATTTTACCCCGCTTCAACATCATCCTTTGCCCAAATGATTGATTTTGTGCATCTCACCTGCCCCCTCCAGATATCTTCAACTATGTGATCTATGCAGTCAGTATACAATGGGGGCCAAAACTAACACCACTGAATCGCGTTCTCAATAATATTTGCTCGGCGAAATGTCGCATCATACCCGTATGCAGTCAAACTTCCGCGTTTGATGCAGAAAATCGATATAACCATCGGCAGGTACATCTTCTGATCTGACGCACGTATTGATATAATTACATACATCTATATTCAATATTCAGCCCCCACCCCACCATATCATTTCTACAACTTAATAAAAATTAAAATGCAACTTCATTGCGTATAAGTAAGGTGTTGATGTATTTTTGGTATCAATACATTATCCATATAGCCATGAAGGCTCTACAACGTAGAATCGACGATATATTGATGGAGGGCTGTGTCTGGTTTAATGACACTTCAAGTCCCTTCCAATTTTATAGTCGTCGGGAAACCATATTTATCAATTATGTACACCATGGAGTTCAAACACACACATCCCAGACTTTCAAGCAGAGTATTTGATGAATCAAGTAAATCCTCATCTGAGTCGACGGAAACTTTCCTGGGTTTCATTGAATCACCTCCATCTGTTATTACTTTTCCAAGACCAAACTCTATATTTCCATTGGATAAATATGTACCAGATGAGAAAGGCTCGAGAGAACGGCTCCTGCAACATGAAAGACAGTTCAGCGATCTTCAGGTACCGTTGGTGTCAGAAAGTAAAACCATCTCGACTTGGAAATGGATTCTAGTCTTCTGCGGATTATCTATAGGGGCATTTCTAGCAGGTAAGATTCGCATATGTCGTTGTTGAAGCTCAAGGGCATTCATTGTTTGTTCCTAGTTGACAAAATTTAGGGCTTGATGCTACCATAGTTGCCGACGCTCAAGGACCCATTCTCCAAAGTCTGGGAGAAATTGAAAAGGTTGCTTGGATCGGTGTGGCTGATCCACTTGGATCTGGAGCTACTATCCTACTTATCGGTTCTTGCTATGGGATCTTCCAGATCAAATACATGTACATGTTTAGTATGTTGCTTTTTGAGGTAGGGAGTGCAATTTGTGGAGCTTCGAATTCAATGAACGTTATGATAGTTGGACGGGTTATGGTGGGTATTGGAGGAGCGGGAATTGATCTAGGGTAAGTTGCCTCTTCTATCTCTTTGGGTTCCTTGCTTGTTGTATGGAAAGTTCCTCTAATCACTTGGAAATATTGAATATTGAAACACATTGAGGGAGCTGAGGTGATTGGCAGTCATGCTGTATGGACTGACCATATTGTTAGAGCTCTTAACTACCTATCTAAATTCACACCTCCACGTACCAGGCCCATCTACAACGCAATCCTTGGAATCTCCTTTGGACTCGGCAACATTCTTGGTCCAGTAATTGGCGGTGCTTTCGCGAACACTCCGGCTCTCGGGTGGCGTTGGTCTTTCTATATCAACCTTCCTCTCGCCGCAATCATGACTCCCCTGTTCCTCCTTCTTTTGCCGAAACACAACCCTATGCCTTCCATCTCAATATCACAGAAGCTGAAACTCATTGATTTCCTCGGTTTCGTCTTACATGTTATCGTATGGGCTTCTTTTCTCGTTGGTGTCACAATGGGCGGCTCAACTTGGTCCTGGTCATCCATTTCTTCCATCGCAGTCTGGACACTCTTCGGAATATCTCTTTTCTGCTATATCATCCAACAATCTCTTTGCCTTCTTACCACTTCCTGCCATCGCATTTTCCCAGTTCATTTCCTCCGTTCTCGAACACTCATTCTTCTCTTCATCGCTACTGCTGCGACCATGACAGCACTCGTCACACCTATCTTCTATATTCCTCTTCTTTATCAATTTGCGCATGGCTCTTCTCCTATGGCATCAGCACTCAATTTGATTCCTGCAATCGCGGCCTTTTTCATCATCCTTTTATGCACAGGTGCATTACTCCCGCGAATTGGTTATTACAAAGCTATTTATATTCTCGCCTCAGTTTTCATGATTGTCGTGGAATATTCATGAGTCGAGTCACTATCAATACGTCCAATAGAACAATTTATCTTTATTCTATCCTGATAGGTATAGGAGTAGGAATGATCTTCCAAATAGCCTACGATATTGGTATGAGCAAAGTGGCATCGATGGGTGCACAGGATACCACAGCCACCGAAGAATCAGGCGGCGACGAACAAAAACTTATTGCGTATATAAATGTCGCACAAGTGGGCTGTGCGGGTATTGCACTTAGTATTGCGGGATGCATATACCAAAACTTGGGAGTGAAGAAGCTTCAAGAAGTTTTTGGGGATGAGGTTCCGGTGGAGATTATCAGGGAAGCCTTGGGTGGTTTGAAGGGGGAGGGGCTAGGAGATATGGGGACTATTGATGGGTATATTATGAAGAGTGCATTAGATGCAGTAGTGGCGACTGTGGGGAATGTCTATTGGTTGGTTGTTGTAGCGGGTGTGGTGTGTGCAATTTGTGGTCTGAGTATGAAGTGGGAAAGAGTGGTTTTGGAGCCGGAACTGGAGGGAAATAGGAGATTTAGTGTCAATTATGAAGCTATCGTTTGAGATTGTGGGGGACGATGTTTTGTGTGCAATACGGTCGATTTAGGCGGGAAGGACTTGGATGTCATTTTCTATAATATACTTTCAACGATGAATACGATTGATTACGATGGCTTTACAATCTCAATAGGCTTTCCCATCTATGTAATCATGGCATTTAGTACCTCGACAGCATTGCTCAGTAGTCTCCATCCTTCTCGACACCCTCCGGCCACCAAATCATATGCCCGCCTCCATCTGCATGCTGCCTCCCAACTCTCGTATAGAAATCTCCTAACATTCTGAAGCCCAATTTTCTATACAATTTCTCACCTTCGATACTAGCAGTCAATCCTGCAGGAACATTCTCTTTCCCCGCTCTCTCTAAAATATATCCCATTAACAATCTGCCGATGCCTTTCCCTTGGTACTCAGGAAGTACAACGATACTGTTTACATGCCAGCGATTTTGCCTCCTTGGGAAAGCTTCCGGAGACCAATAACGCTCTTGATCCATTTTGATTGAGTGATTGAAAACGGCCCTGTTGGGTTTTGATGTAGCACGGTCTGGCCGGAGGTAATTATATAATCCGAACAAAACTATTAAGATGGAACTTAACATCCATCTCCCAATTCTTTCCATGCCGCTCCTCTCGTTTACAAATTTCTCGACTCCGGAATCTAGACCTTTACGACTATACATCCCATAGGCCAAAAGAACATCAGGCGACTCGGGAGAACAGACTACCAGAGTCAGAGTCTGAGGGTTCAGGTAGGATTTTGTGACGCCTTGTCCAACGGATATTTGTTGATCGCGCGGATACTGTTTTGCGTGAGGATCTAAGAATTCGCTTACGGGGCTGGAACCATAGGCTGCGATGACAATGTGTGTCATTTGAGGGATATCGAGCAGGGTCGCGGGGCGAAGAATGAAGGGTTGGGAGGGCATTTTGGATGTGTGAGTCTAGATGACAACGACTGGATTATGGGATGCGTAGAAATGATGGACGATGATTGTTAGCAGTTTTGATATTCACTCAAGCACTCGAAAATTCTTACTAGGCAACTATATATATAGTGCAATCAATACATCACGCCGGATGACTGACACGTTCAAAATTGCTTACACCGAACTCCGATCTCCGAAAACTTGGATGGACCGGAAAATTTCCCAAGTCACAATGATTTTTATATTCGAAGATGGGATATTTGGTTTCTGCTCACTGCTTTACACTCTAGTAACAAGTATCTTGCCGACGGTGTCGTGGGTGCTACTCATCTCATGATTGGACATGAAGTTGGAGTTCGGGACTAATCATGTGATTGCTGTAGGTTATATGTCAGCACAAGTGGGATGTAAAGGAAACGTCGACGAAGTTTTCAGGCAGATACGTAGGCTCAGGGGAAACCTGTTTATCGTGAAATATATAGAATATGCTTGGGTTGGTGAAGTCTCCTCGAGGTCATAGCCCCATCAGGAAAGTGCATTTTGTTGGTAACCTTAGGCAGAGCATGAACTTCGATGAGACTCCTTGAAGCCTCAAACTGCAAGTAACACACCATCAACTCATGCACAATCTGAGCTGCTTAAGTTGTCAATCGAGATAAGTTGCTATTGTCCAGTTAAGAAGAGAGGTATTCATATCGTCAGTCATGGAACTCCTATCGATATCTCGAATTCGTAGCCACATTCTTTTATAAGTCTAGTGGTGCATCACTAAATGCTATGAAATGGTTAGCACAATATGTGTCCTGGTATAAACACGGTAAGAGCCCATTTATTCGTTATTCAGCTATGGTTTCTACTAACATCATGTAGAAAAAACACATCGTGTGCCATGGAATGGTGGTATCCCACCACGTAAAGGCGAAGAACCATATGCCGAGGGATTTGGCCCAGCAATTTGCATGTGGACCCCTGATGATTGGGCCTTTGATCCATCCTTTATTGCTTTCGCGGTGGAAGACTTATATTTCGAGAGATTCGACAGACATGATATTGAGATACTCGAACAGCTTGCAGTAGGGCTGGATGGAGATGGCGAGATAATAAGAGTGGGTATTTGGGGCAACAACGAGACGCAAAAACGGCTCGGACAGAAATACGGTTGGTTCGAAACATATGCTCATGTCGACAAGATAGCTAGTGAGGAAAGTGGCTGGGAGGATTTCGAAGTATACTTCACCCATCTTGAGGGCTTGGACTTGCGTTGTAGAACACCCATGGGTTTTCACCCAGTGAGAAATGATGACGAACTTCCAGATTTTTGCCTCGAAGACTGGATCTTTATCAGGGATTGTTCTCCTATCGATCCTGGTTTCTCGACTGCTTATGATTTGAGACATATGCAGCTCTCAAAACAAGATATTCAGTCGTTATCTTCGGCCGTTCAAGCTTCATCCGACATAGAATCTCATAGAAATCATGACTCTCCATCGTCTCCTTCTCCGACTAAAACAATAAATAGCAGATCCAAAGACCGAAATGAAACGCCACTTAAGTATGAAGGGCTAAGAGCAGATCCTACAGATGAGATTGACACTGGAGCTTGGGATACACGAGAGAACTTCCCTGCGCATTTACAGGGTACTTCAGTCCCATACACGCGTCCCAAGGCAAGATCAACATGGAATACCGAACTAGGAACCGTACTTCTAGCACCCGCTCCCGACACCCAACTCCTCGGCTTCTCAACCACCAAACTCCAAATATCTTCGCACGCCCAACACACTCTCAAAAGCAACCGCTACCATGAGCTCTGAAACCTCGAACAACTGTGCCAAGCTCGCATTCTCATTTTCGATCCATATCGTGCTCAGGATGGAAGAGTTTCAGACACCGCGTTGGTCTTCATTCAAGGCTCGCCATATGCTCGACATCAAGCGGTTAAACTTTTTACTGCATTTCAAGATAATTTGGAGAAGGGATCGATGGATTAGAATGTCAATTTTAGGTTTTGGGGACCGGGTCGCTCGAGGGGGAGAAAGGGGAATGATTTGAAGAAGATGAAGTGAGGAAAGTGAGGATGGTGAGTATTGACGGAACTTTATTGGTGTATTCAAGAGGATTCAATTTGCGGGTATGCATCGACTTTTTGAATCAGGAAATGATTTTTTTGCGAGTAATTTCTGCTGCGATAGTATGAGATATTGATGAGAGGGGCTGTGTGTATTGGGGAAAAAAGTAAAGAGTGTTCGAGCATGACAATTTCTCATGAATCCGTCCGTTGCTACCAGTTGAAACATCTGGAGTAAAGAGCATGAGGAGATGAGTCTAATGGTCTTTTCAACGATTTACATGAACACAATGAGACTGTATAATTGGAGAAAAAAGGATATAAGTCTAGAATCTTACTTACATTGTATGAGCTCATCCACTATCAAATAAATCAAAAGCAATCACAGCTATCTACACCAAATTAAGAAGATACCTGCACAAATACGCAAATCGATATCCAAATATTTCTTCTGGACATCCATTTTCTAAGCGAACGTAATGCAGTAATCTGAAAAGCCAAAAAGAAAAGTTCCTCGCAAGTTACCCATTCCATATTCAAGAGTGAACAAACACAGTCTGACCCCATTCAACTATCCAACCCCACCACTTACTTCACTGCTCTCCCAAAAATCTAATCAACACATACCCATCCCCATCCTCGCCCTTGCCATCCCTATGGACATCGGACCAGCCATCCCATTCGAAGCAGGAACCTTCTCCGCCCCCATAAGCTCATCCGTATTATCCATTTCCTCTACGAGCATCTTCGCTTGCACCATGAGTGCTTTGAGAAAAACGTTATCTGTGAGATGCGCAGGAATATCCACTGTTGGGAGAGTCTTCTGAGGCTTGGTCTGCTCAGCTGTTTCCTCGGTGTTACTAGTGGGTTGGGAATCGCGAAGAACGCCTTCCATGCTATCGTCTCTCTCAATTACTACCTTATCATTCGTAGGTGTAGATGTAGAAGCAGTCGTGTAACTCCCGCTTTCCTCCTCCTCAGCACCATCATCATGTGCTCCCGTAGCACTCCTCGCAATACTCAACAGCGTAACAATAAACAGCTCTTTCAAATAAGCAAAAGTGATTCCCTCCGTCATCTTGACAACAAGCGAATATAACTCCTCTCCAAATTCCACCATATCCCCTCCATCCCCTCCCAACTTTCCCCTCCAAAATTCCACATACGCTCTCCGCTCTTCTTCATTCGGAACCCTAAAACAGTACTTCCGATCAAATCTGCTTGGTCTCTTGCTAATACTCGAATCTAATTTTCCCAAATGATTCGTGCTGCCGATCATTAGGATTCCATCATTGGACTCTAGTCCATCTACTTCGTTTAGAAAGTACGAACGAGTTTTCTCGGTGACGAGGGAATCGAGATCTTCAAAGATGAGACAGGGAGCCATTTTGCGGGCTTTTTGGAAGATAGATGAGATGGCCCATTTTGGGCCGTGGCATTCGCCGTCAAAGGATTTGACATAGAGGGAGGGGATCGGGGATGGACGAGAGGAGAGAGTTGACATGAGGGCTTTGATGGAGATGGTTTTGCCATTTCCTAATGGAAGGTTTTAGTAAGGAGGGAAATGGGAGGGAAAAGTTTAGGATGTGAAAGAGAAATAATTCAAAGTTAGATATAAGGAATAAAAAGAAGTATTTGGATCGGAGAGATATAAATCGATACAAGTCCTAGTGGAGTGCATGTTCATGATTCAGTAGACGATCCTGGCAATTCTTACCTGGTACACCATGCAAAATGATCCCACGTTTCCAAGGCACAGTAAGCTTCTTATACAAAGCCTGATTATCAAAGAAGCTCTCCACGTCAGCGATAAGATTGGCTTTCAACGCTTTGTTGAGAATGACTTCGTCCCACGAGGAGCCTTGGACAGATTCGTAAAGATTCTTGTCTTTGACCCATTGTTGACTATCAAAGACGTATATTTCTTCGTGGAGTTCAATGGTCCAGGCACTGGCGGCTAGAATCAAAGCATCGATGCCCCGGGCAGAGGGGTCATCTTCTTTATCTGAAAGGATAAACTGCAACTTCAAAGTGCTGAACCCCTTAGGATCGTCGTATTGTGCTCGATAAACAATGTATTTCATATTCTCCCACGTGTAAAACCACCTGCGGAACTTGACCTGTTCGACAACCGTCTTTGGCTTGTTGTCAAGACGAGATCCGGATGCATGGTATTTGCGGATGGTCCATTTAGCGTCTTCATCATCTGCGGAATCTTCAAGATCCTCATTCATCGTCATCTTTATCGTTGCGCTTAGCAAAGCCAGAATCAGCGTAACCTATGAGATCGCATTGGTCAAAACTAGTTTGTACGACTTGAGAAAATATATAGTATTCCTTGAGACGCTCGAAAAGCTTGAGTGGAATGGATGTAGTATGAGCTGCATGCTGACTTGTCCAGCCGTCAAAAACTTCTCTGTGAAAACTGACCCTACTCCTGATTAGTTCATTGATGCTCTTCACTTCGATCTTCAAAGGGGAAAGCACTCCGACTTACATTTTCAAGTATCTGAATTATTTTGAATGTGAAAATCGAGTTGCAGCCTTTTCAGTCCATAGAATTCAAGATGAATACCAGAAATGAAGAAACCCATAGAATTATATATCCATCTCCCCTCACGACGCTGCGCCGCCGAGTACGTTACTTTTTGCCTCACGCAAGGCAGCACTTCTACACATTTCCAAGAAACCAGTAAGCAATCCCCACAGCCTATGAACTTGCCAGACACCTGCACTTCCCCGCGACCATGCAGATAAATAATGCGAGTTACATCACCGTGTTTGAGAAACTGCACGAGGAGACGTAAAAACATGCGTCCCAGGCGTGAGGATAATGACAAACGAGACAACTTCAAAGGAGCGCGTCATTCAATGCAGTTATAGCGCTGCTTTCAGATAGAATTTGGCTTGCGAGACCCTATGGGTTTTGTTTCCAACAACAGGATGCTGTCTCAATAAACTGTGTCTGACGTGCATTAATCGGACCATCCTTCAATGCTCGTCATATCCAGTGACCAATAGAATATGTGCGTTATTTTCTAAGCTGCAGACAGTGTAACATCGAATGCATGTGCGAGAGTAAGAGCGCCGAGTTTTTGGAAGCGAAATTCTCAATCTGATATTACTACCAATCCTAGGAACTGGTCGGTCCGTAAGTAATTGACATGTTTGAATCGAGGTTATCTCTTTTACTAGGTACTGTGATTAGGATTAGATCTCCTGAAGAAATCTGCCAATTCCTTACATCTTGGACATTATGCGTTTCATATCAATCAAACCGGCAAGATAGTTGACAGGTAATCAAACAACTATCATGCGGCTCCAGACGAGGCACTGGGAGCAGAATCGTAAAATTAAGAAGTATACAGATTGAATCGATTGAGTAGGGGTAGGGGCAGGGCTGCTTACAGAGCACGACATTCTCCTTCGAAATCGAAAACACCGCCTCACCTCATAAATCAATGAAAAAAGGAAGGCAGAAAATTGAGTGAAGAGAACCTGGGTTCAAACCTGTGTTGTGACTAGGTAATCAAGTCAATTTACCCAGTCGGCAGGTCAGTCAATCTCAAACCAGGTGAATAGTTATATTGATTACCCCGACATATCATCGTGACAGGCTCTGCACGATGAACTCGCAGTAGGAAGAAATGACGAAGAAAAAATGGGTGTCCTTCAGGCCCAATTACTTGTCAGATGTTTTTGGGACAAGCGACGCTGCTGCAAAGTAATTGAGATTGAAAACTTGAAGACAACTATGTCTGACGATGATAGCACATCAAAGCTTCATATTAAAGAATAAAAAAGAGAAGATTGTAAGACCTGGAAGCGATCGCTATATTGAATCATAATTTTCATTGTTGCAAATTACCGGCCTCATTTATCATTAAAATCATTATTTTCGTCTTTTATCAAACCATCAACCGGGTATCTCTCGTGTAACAAATCTCCCAAAGTATCCCATTTTCCAGATTTCTCCCATAATTCTGAAGGGAAAGAGGCTTCTACCGCAGCACAGTTGCCTATATTGTAGGTGCAATGCTGACCGTCTTCACTCTTTGGAACATTCCAACATGCTTGATTCCTTCTTCATCCCACGTTCCCATTTTCTCATCAATCTTGAATCCCCATTTAGCCCAAGCTGGCGCAACCTGTTCCTGTGCGTGAACACACATCAGACCTTTCCACACAGGTATTTCTTCTGTGCTCGAAGCTCCAACATTTTCCATTCCCATTGTGGCAACAGATGGATTAAAGAATGTAGGGTTCTGCTGCGCCCACGACATAGCTGCGCCCGCCAGTAATTTGGAGACGCCAGCACCCCTGCAATCTTTGATAACTGCAATTCTACCCAGTTTTATATATGGCTCGACTCCGTCATGATATGTAGTTTCTCGATCGACAATGTAAGGAGGTGGAACTGTGCCATCGGGAATCGGAGCCGTTTCAAGCGCATCCGCATGATAGCTGGAACCTGGTTCAGGATGTGGTGGATGCGGAAATGGTACCAGGCGAATTGTGCCAATAGGTTGAGATGTAGTCCTACTCTTCTTTCTCTGTAATATATTGCCATCGTCATCCTTGACTTCAGGATCAGTTGTTTCGTTGACTGAAGCATAAATGACCCAGTGGCAAGCTCGAGGGTCATCGGAGTCGAATTCATTTTCGAGGGGAACCCCTTGCTCTTGGACAAAGACAGCTTCTCGAACTTCCATAGCGTCTAGGAAGGTTTTGGGGATATGATCGGGTTGCTCTGACGCGGGAAGTTTGCGATCATACCCATCTAGGTTCGTTGGACCTAAGAATTGGATGAAAGGAGTGGCAGACATTGTGATGCGGGAAGAGTAATTGTCTCTTTGGTAGGTGGTTGTGTGAATGTGTAGTTTTGTGAGTGTTAGAAATTTTTGGACGAGTAGCAAATGATAATTTTAAAGAAGATTAAGAGGACTCTGATTATCGATCAAATCTACTCGTATTTCTGTGGTTGTAGTGCGCCGTTTTTATAAAAAGCCTAAAATTATGCACAATGATGACTAGCGTGACTTGTGGCTTTATATGACTGTCATAAGGTTACCTATGGAAGGAAAGGAGACAGACAGATGGATGATTGACTTGTAGACCGGTGGCTGAGAGGACAGGTTGAGAAGCCAAGGTACCGGTAGATGTCGTATACGTAGAGAAACCGCAGGATCTTTCGTCATCAAGTTGTTGTCGTATTTTGTAGAATTGTTGCTTTGTTGTGAAGCTGTAGATTAGCTGAATGATCGACAATGTTTAAATGCATCAACGCGTGAACCGACGGCGAGACGTGATAGCTTGCGAAGATGTGATAGTAATACTTCTTTCATAAGATGTAATTAGTTGTAGAGTTGTGTTTCAAATACCTCGTAAATTCTTTGCCACACGAATGGATGAGATCATTTGCCGGCATTTGTATTAATGTCAAGGAATAGTAATGGAGGGGAAGAGAGGAGGGGGGAGGGAGGGGCAGAGGAATGGAGGGGAAAAGTTGGAATCCTTGCCTCAAGCTTGCTTCCCTCACTCGAGCCTCACTCAAATGTTGGTCGGAAGGTCGGAGATTCGGGTACCGTTTGCTCCGTGGGTTCCACCTTTCTCTTATCGGACCTCAGATAAGACATCTTATCGATTGAAACCTCTGAGCTCCCCCTTCCCCGAGAACCCTCAGCCTTAGAGGACTGATAATTGTAAAGCTGTCCTCTTTGGTCCTTACAAGGATTATCAACGTCAATCTTGGGGAACACCTTGGAGAAGTATCCAGAAAAGAATACTTGTCCATAAGTAAATTGATTATATTAAAAATCAAATAGAAGAGGTCTTGTTGTTATATTTACAATTGTATTGTTGTCCTCAAGAATATTTGACTGGGAATTCTTGTGGACAGATTCTATGTCGAATATTTGAGGCAGGGCGCACTTTGATACTCGAGTAGTTGAAACTCGTGAGAGTATTTCTTTAACCTTCTCCTCCCTCTTCCCCCCTCCTGAATATTATTTCACCTCATTCATTTCTTTAGCAATTAAGCTTGCTACACCACAACATATAATGGCTCTTTCGAGGAATCCTTCGGGGAAGATCTTTTCTTCTCCAATCTTGTCCATATTATGTTTATTTTACATCTTCACTTCCACAGCATTGGCTGCATCGGCAGTTTTAGGTGTTGATCTTGGGACAGAATATATCAAGGCAGCTTTGGTAAAACCCGGTATTCCACTCGAAATCGTTCTCACGAAAGACTCTCGTCGAAAGGAAACATCCGCCGTAGCTTTTAAGCCTTCGAAAAACCCAGCCAGCGGATCGTTCCCAGAACGAGTTTACGGTTCAGATGCGGTCGCTTTGGCTGCACGATTTCCTGGAGATGTCTATCCTAACCTCAAGCCCCTCCTGGGATTGAAGACGGAGAATGATCTCATTAAACAATATGGAATTCGACACCCGGCTTTACAATTGGAGGCGGACAAGACACGAGGCACAGCAGCTTTCCGAAGCGGTGCATTTGCTGCAGATGAGCAGCCATGGTCTGTTGAGGAAATCTTAGCCATGGAATTGCAGAGCATTCAAAAGAACGCCGAGGCTCTAGCAGGTAGCAAAGTCAATGATTTAGTCATTACCGTCCCAGTCTTTTACACCACGGAGGAGAAGAGAGCTGTTCTTTTGGCGGCAGATTTGGCAGGTCTTCGAGTTTTGGAATTGATCAGTGATGGATTGGCTGTCGGTCTCAATTACGCTACCTCCCGAACTTTCCCAAGCATCAACGAAGGAGGAAAAGCCGAACACCACATGATTTTTGATATGGGCGCCGGATCCACAAAGGCTTCAATCTTGAAGTTCCAAGGACGAACCGTAAAGGACGTTGGAAAGTTTAACAAGACCATTCAAGAAGTCAAAGTCGTCAGCAGTGGATGGGATAGAACACTTGGAGGTGATGCTCTCAACGCTGTCATCGTCGATGATATGATTGCACAATTTGTCGAATCTCCCAAGGCACAAAAGGTATCAGCAACTGCCGAGAAGGTCCAGGCTCATGGAAGAGCTGCCGCGAAGTTGTGGAAGGAAGCCGAACGTTTACGACAAATTCTCAGTGCCAATGCCAATACTCAAGCTAGTTTCGAAGGCCTTTACGAAGATGTTGACTTCAAATACAAGATTAGCCGAGCTGAGTTCGAAAAACTCGCCGAGGATCATGCTGCTCGAGTTGGTACAGTCATTGAGAAGGCTTTAGATCTTGCCAATCTTGAGATTAAGGATCTTGATTCTATCATTCTCCATGGAGGTGCGATCAGAACTCCATTCGTTCAGAAGGAGCTTGAGAAGATTGTTGGAGGTTCCGACAAGATCCGCACCAATGTCAATGCCGATGAAGCCGCCGTTTTTGGTGCTGGATTTAGAGGGGCCGGACTCAGTCCTTCGTTCAGGGTCAAGGAAATTCGAAGTTACGATGGTGCTTCTTATGCCGCTGGTATTAAATACATTGATATTCACAAGAAGCCAAGGCACATGAGATTGTACGAACCGACCACTAATGTCAACGCGGAGAAGCAATTTACTTTTGAAAATCATGAGGAATTCACTATTGATTTCTATCAACACGTTGCATCATCCGAGAAAGTATCGCCAGGATCCGCAGAAAAGGAATTGAAAGCCATCACTACACAAAATTTGACAGAGTCTGTAGCTCTTTTGAAAGAGAAACACAATTGCGACAACAAGGATATCAGAGTCCATTTAAGCACTCGTGTTAGTCCTGTCAACGGTGAAATGGATATCGTAAAATTCGTCGTTGACTGTGAGGTTGAAGAGATAGAGAAGGAGAGTATGGTCGATAGTGTCAAGGGACTTTTCGGATTTGGAAAGAAAGATCAAGCACCATTAGAGGATGGTAAGGAATCCACCGACAGCTCTAGCACCACCGAAAGTTCGACTACATCTAAAAAAGCCACCTCATCGTCCAGCTCTAAATCTGCCTCAAAATCCGCCTCCGCATCAGCCAAGGACAAAGAAGCCGCCAAGAGCAAGAAAACTTTGATTGTCATTCCATTGAAATATGAACTAGAACTCAAAGGTCTTCCAGAAGTTCCAGCTTCCGAAATCACTAGAATGAAAGATCGAATTGCTGCGTTTGATGATTCCGACCGATCCCGTCGTCTACGCGAAGAAGCCTTGAACCAATTGGAAGGATTTACATACAAGGCGAGAGACTTCCTTGATAATGAAGAATTTATCGCCGCATCTACCGAAACAGAACGTTCAGATCTAGAGAGCAAATCTAAGGCAGCTAGTGAATGGATTTATTCTGGGGGTGCTGATGCATCTCGTGACGAACTCAAAGCCAAACTCAAGGAAATGAAAGACATCGTTGCCCCAATTCAAAAGCGAAGAGAAGAAGCCGCTGGCCGACCTGAACATTTGAAGTCTCTTAAAGAAGCACTGGAGCAAACTAAATCATTCATTGCCGGTGTAAGAGAGCAAATCAAAAATGAAACAGAGGCCCATTCTTCCTTCAGCGCATCTAAATCCAGCGCTTCAGCCAATTCCGAAACAACATCCACAGCCACTGTTGATGATTTCGCCGATCTCGAAGATGAAGAGAATGCCGGTTCCGCTTCATCAACAGTAACTGCTCCTCCCGAAGAAGAAACAATGGATCCACCAGTCTACAACGAAGCTGATCTCGCAGCTCCTCAAGCTCTTTACGATGATATCTCCAAGTGGCTCTCCGAGCTTGTCGACCAACAAGAAAAACTCGCTGCTACAGCTGATCCTGTTCTTCTTATCAAGGATCTCGCCGAAAAGACCAAACAACTTCAAGATATTGGTGTAGAACTTATCATGAAGAGTATGAAACAACCATACAAGACTTCTCGGAAGCCAACTAGCAAACCTGAGAAGAAGAAGGCCACAAAATCGAAGTCCAAGACGAAGAAGAGTAAGAAGACTGGAACTTCAACTGCTGATGAAGCAGATGCGACAATTGATTTGGGCTTTGGAGGACCAGATGGAAAGGCTGGAAAGGGTGATGAAGGAACCGAAGGAAAGCCTATCTTCAAGGTGGGGGAGAATGATGAGATGCCTAGCGAAGAACAAATTTTGGAGGCAGTTAGAAAGGCGAAGGATGATAAGAAGGAAGAAGAGGTTAAACATGAAGAATTGTAGATTATTTAGATAGATTTGTATAGATGCTATTGAGTGATTTGCATCTGGCATGAGATCTAGTTGTTTGTTTGTATGAGAGACAAGATGTGCCTATACGAATACTTATCAAATATACTAAATTTGTTTGTTACTTCGATTGATTGATTACATTTGATTACATCTAAGCGTTTGCGTTCTCGTTCTTGTTTGGAATTAAAAGTTGAGAAAAGAGATTGAAGAAGATGTTTTCCGAATTATTTTTCTATTTTTCTATTTTTCTATTTTTCTATTTTTCTAGAGAGTGTGTATCTAGGTATGTGGTGTGATGTGATGTGATGTGGTGTAATATTAGTATCCTATCTCATCTCTGATTCATGGGGGGTGAATGGGAGTGGTGAGGATGGGATTTTGAATTTATAGCCCATGGATAGGCTGTGGATAGGCTGTGGATAGTGGATGTCTATGTAGTTGGATATATCACATATGTGTTATATGTTATGTGTTATATATGATTATAGTTCTGGGATTACACGGGTAGGTGATTAGTAGAGTGGGAGAGAGGGAGAGAGAGGGAGAGAAAGGGAGAGAGAGGGAAGAGAGGGGAGAGAGGGGAGAGAGGGGAGAGAGGGGAGAGAGGGGAGAGAGGGGAGAGAGGGGAGAGAGAGAGAGAGGGAAAAGAGGGAGAGAGAGGGAAAAGAGGGGAGAGAGGAAGAGAGAGAGGGAGAAGGAAAGGCAAGATAGTGAGGGTTACGAGAAATTAAGTTCATGACTTAGATGTACATTTATTTATTTATTGATTAAATAAATTTAATTAATTCTTCATGAGATCATCAGCTTTCGACTCTCATTTCATATGGTGACATATGCTGAAGAGAATTGATAAAAAGATGAAAATGTAACTTTATGCCTTTATGGTTAAGTGTTGTTTGGTTTTTGGGGGGAAGGGAGTTTACATTTGCATCCTCATTTATATATCTCTCAGATTCGAATTTTTGCCTAATTATCCTATCATAATATTTCTTCGTTTCAGGTGGGATTTCAAGATATAACTCGCATATATGTTGATGCATCAGTGGATGGATGGTATATATGTAGATAGGTAGATAGGTAGGTAGGTATTCAGGAATGAGCAATCTGATTACATCTTCCTGGATGTACATAAGATTACCAACTCAAAGCTATAACTACAACTACAACTATAATATAACCCTCAACTCTGAAATATTCTTCCCCTCCCCTTTCCATAATCCTCAAAAATCCTAGACTCCAGACTCAATCTGAGACTTCAGACTCCATTCAATCTCTAAACTTCCAACTTGGTATCGGAATACATACATCTATTCATCTATCCATCCATCCATGCTACACAATCCCACAAGTGACTTTTCAAGATAGTGAGGTCTTTGTTTTGTAGCCTTCATGTATATATGTGTATTTCTCGCTTCACCTCACCTGTATCGCTTTCCTAGAAGTTCCTTGCGTAGGTAGTTATCTTGTTGTTTGTTCGTGTCGAAACTTTGGATGCTGTATATTCATTTACAGATTCCAATGTAATGCCAAACATTTCCCTCCATTTCTCATCTCCATTCCACCACCTTCCTCTCCCTCTTCCCCTTTCCTTCCCTGCCCCTTTCCCATCTCTATCCATACCTAACCCTTACACCTCCCCTCCCCACCTCCGGAAACGGCAAAAACAAATCCCTCTTCATCTCCACATCTCTCCTATCCGTCTCCACCAACTCCTGTACTTCATATCTTCTAAAGATGGTCGCGAGCGTGAGTAAGATTTCGGTTTTGGCCAGATTGATGCCTGCGCAGGAGCGCGATCCTTTGCCAAAAGCGACGAGATATTTTTCGAGAGTTTTGTCAGGGGTAAGGGTTTGAAGGGGTGCAGTGGTGGAAGAATTATTGGTGGGAGAGGAAGTGGTGAGCCAGCGGTAGGGGTTGAATGTCAGTGGGTCGGGGAAGATATCGGGGTTTTGGTGCATATGGACGGAGGTCATGGAGACGGGTGTCTGTGTGATATTAGCTTTCTATTTTGTTTCGTTTGAGGCTGAAATTCAATTCAAGCATGATGATGTAATCTAGAGGGTTTCCCTTCGAAACTAAAGGGGTGGAAGGGGAGGAATTGCGAGAATACGTACACCAGCAGGAATCTCCCAATCTTTATACATCATAACTTCATAAGGAGATATACGAGGAAGACGAGTTGATACACCATAAGAAAGTCTATTCGAGTATGTCAGTTAGAGCGAGTCCCCAAAGTATAGAGGATGTGCTGAGAGAAGAGGAAGAGGAAAAGGACAAGGAAGTGAATATATACCTCAAACCTTCATTAGTAACAGCATTTAAAAAGGGAAGGCCTTCAAGATCTTTCAGACAAGCTCTTGCGTATCGATCCTGCATAACTGATTTTAATTCATCTCTCAACGTTTTCAGATGTTGTGGATTATCGAGAAGATGGAAATGTGTGTTCTGAAATTCGACATGTTAGTAAATTGGACATTTATATTCTGTCCAATAGATTCTTTTCTTTCTTTCCCTACTCCCTTCTTTCCTTTTCTCGAAATCTAGGAGAATGTGAAATCACTTACAGTCAACATGTTCGACACCGTATCGCTCCCAGCTCCAATTAGTACAAATGCTTCTTCAAATAATCTTTGAAACTCTTTTTCCGAAGGAGGGATTTCATCTGATTCCAGAATTGCATGTACGATTGTTCCTTCAATTCCATTACCTTTATCGGGATCAAATTTGTAGTTACCATCAAGGATATTCTGGGTGTCTACTTCAATTGCCTAGAAAAACATGATGCATTAGATATGGATTTCCTCTCGATTCTCGGTTGTGAAAGAAAAGTGGAAGCGGAAAAGGGGAACGTGTCAAAGAATACAAACCTTGCGAAAATCCATGAGCATGGCAAAACCAGGTTTGGTGATCTTTAAAAACCATCTGGGAAGTCCTAGAGAAATAGGTAGGAGGATAGGAAATTGTGTTAGGAGATGGCCTAATTTGACGGTTTCGGCTATGGTTTCGACCCAGAGGGGTGAGAAATTGGGAGAATCAAGATGATTCCAGGAACGATTTAGTGCGTACTGAGTATGACGGTTAGTTTCATGAGGTAATTTGTGTTTTTTTGAATAGTCAAGTTCATAATCAGAACCAAAAGGAAGATTTGTGGCAGTATAGCAATAGAAAGCAAGTAAACGAACCAAAGTAATAACATCAGTTATAAAACACTGATAAACAACTCTCATATCCAACTTCTCACCCTTTTCCTTAAACTCTTCAATTCTTCTACATAATTTATCAAGCATATCAAGTAACATAGGTTCCAATTTCTTGATCGTTTGCTTTGAGAGATATTTATTGAGAGCAGCGCGTCTTTCTCGATGAAGTTTATGATCGACACTTCCGAAAGCTGAACCTGGAAGTTGGAAACGATCGAGGAAGTAGGCATACTTGTGACGGACTTTGTGTTGAGAATACAATTCTTCATAGAAAGCGGGGTCGTAGACGTGAAGTTGATGAGGAGAGATGCGGATGATGGGACCTGGGATGTTAGTATGTGGGATAGAGTGATGGTGTCAAAGGAGAGATTATGAGAAGTGTAGAGGCTGTGATTGATATAAGAATATAAAAGCACATTGAAAGATAGTGGAAGTGGAAGTGGAAACAAAAGAGAAGTAACATGAAGATGTGAGAATGAAGAAAAGGAGAATCCAACATCATAACGCCAAAAGTGTGAAAAGGCAATACACAACACCCAGAAGATATAAAAAGAAACAATCTGCTCATCAAACACGAAAAACCCCATAAGAAAATCAAAAACACATACCATAAACCTTATGCAACTCTCTGATCTTAAAAGTAAATTGTCCATCACGCCAAACATCATAGTAGAACTCATACCTGTATCAACACGTGTATTAGTAAATTTCAAAGACCCGAACCCTCATACCTCATCTCTTGCAAAGACACCACAATGAGGCAATCTTTCTCTTCCTCGAGGAACTTCCTCTTGCTACTCCCAGTTCCATTCTATGAATCTTCAGTCTTGAGATATCAAAAACATCAACATACCAGAGACTTGCCGCCGCCAATTTAGGACCTGGAAACTTAGCCAGAGGACTAAAGTAAAGTCGATAAACCACCAATGTGACCTGACATACTAGGAAAGTCGTGATGAGAATCAAGAGCGAATGCTCCATGAATGGTTGTAGAATTCTCATTGTTTGAAGATATAAGGTTCTCTTCACCTCTGTGTCTGTTGTATGTATTGAAGATGTTGATGATCTTGATATACTTAAAGATGAAGGACTTCCTATTACTGTTGCCATGGCAGTAAAATCCTCCAACCTCAAGAGAAAATTGAGGCACCCCCAATATAAAATTGAAGTCATCTGAGAAGGACGAAACCTCACTGCCGAGAAGAGTGAGTCCATACTTTGAACTTGAGCGAGGAAGACGTATATATAACCGAGGCGTATGAGTTGGCAATGTCGAATAGAAATTGCAGTATTCACTTTCTTCGCTCGATTGTTGGTCAACCAACGATTCTACCTGACCACCAAGTTATTGTCAATAAACAAAAGACATTTCTTCAGTCATATTCACTCAGAAATATATCTCGTCTCAAAGAACACCACTTCAACTTCGGCGTCTATATATCTTCATCATTGTTCACCCAGAGAAAGTGATGGTAAAGATATAAAGCAATATAATACCAGCAATATTGAAACCTCACCCACATCATATTCACGAAAAAGGGTAAGAGCGAAGCAAACACAACCGACAACCATCAAATCAAAAGGCGTCTGAAACAACACATATCAGAATCATGAATTAACAATATATATACATATATCAATACAAATAGAACATTTAAACCCCACCTCAAACCACCATCTCACAACCAAATCCGTACCCCGAAAATCCAATCAAGTTATCGACTTGGGTGTCTTCTCCCATCACATTTGTATCACCAATATCCCATACCAGGTACCATGAGACCCGACGTACCATACACATCTCAGATCTTGACTTCTTCAAGCATCGCCGCCACAATACTCAAACACGGATTCTCATCCAATAGCCCATTCCGGCAAAGTGAAGGAATACGATTAGAAATTTCCCATCGCCTTGGTGCTACATTGGCTTATCTTGGCATTTGTCCCGAAGGAAATGAAGTTTCTTCTTCAACAGATCAAATGGTTGTGTACAGCATGCATGCATATGTACGCATGTGCATATACACACATGTATGCAGGTTTGAGGTCTTGGAACGAATTCTATTTGGGGTTTCTCTTATTGATGTTCTCATTGGTCCCTCACTCTTCTCAGGTGGATTGTTCAGTTCCCCATCCGAACATTACTGCTCGGCTAATTGAAGTTTCCATCCCATCGGTAGCACAATGACTAGGAATGGTCTTGGCGATGTCCCAATGATCTTTTGGGATATTGGTTGGAGGGATGAAGATGTGGTTTGTTGAGGGATGATATAACCTTAATTTATATTCCTAAGCCACGATATTATATATTTTCTTCTTCTTCATGGAATGAATTTGTGAAAAGTTAGGGGGAAATAGTAGAGAAGTTAGAAAGAGGATGACTTTATTTTCAAATCGATACAATAGGGGAAATGTTATCTGAACTAGACGAAAGAAAATCAACACCATAGAATATCACCTATCATTTCCTCTCACTCCTCAACACCTCCACTTCTCAATCCCGTATGAATAAACCAATATCCAATCTCAAATCTACACGAATAGATCTCGATCCATCCTTTCTTCCTTCCTACCTACATCCACACGTGGTGAATCCGGTCCGATGTCGTGCAACACAACCAACGCCATTTCTGCATCCCAATCCAACTCAGCTGCATACATAGATAGCTACATGCATACCCACAGATCCACAAAGAAACATATATGAATCTAGATACATAGCTAGGTAGATCATCAACCCAAATTATACCAATCAATACAACGAAACCATCCATCTCCCGTGGTAGTATGTAGTATTGAAAAAGTATCTATGTTTCAGAGATTTTCGAAGAGATTTTCTAGTCTCTTCTCACAATTTCGATAATAGATGACTCGGTAATAAACGTACAGACAGAGAGATATGATATACCCAGAGACCTTCATCCAACTGGCCGAAAGAAAGGAAGAACGAAAGAAAGAAAGAACGAAAGAAAGAAAGAACGAAAGAAAGAAAGAACGAAAGAAAGAACGAAAGAAAGAAAGAACGAAAGAAAGAAAGAACGAAAGAAAGAATCAGAACGAAGTAAGAAAACAAGCTCATGATGCATACACACACACATTGGCATTTCCAACTTCCAGTCGCACGAAATATGTCGTGTTACATGGTAATCTCATACTTATACCCATTACCCAATTGCATACTGTATACATATACAACACCATCCCATCCCATTCCATCCTATCCCATCCCATACAAACCAACAAACATCAAATCCAACACATCACCCAGTACCATATATCCATATCCCAGAACAAAACCTCAAGAGATTGACTTCTGTCTCGCCAGCAAATGTAGAATCTAGATGTATCAACATGTAATCTTAATTTCATCTGCGATTGAAAAAAATATGTACACCTGGAATCTACCTACCTAGGTACCCAGTGGTAGTCATATGATAGGGTATCACGAAGAAAACGAAGAACGAATCGAATCAAACCAACTCGCTCCAATTCCCCGTTCATTCATTCATTCATTGATTCGCCCATCCCTCCAATCATTCCTCCATCCAATCGTCAATATCCCAACACATCTCAACCACCCATTCATTATCATGGCGTAAGTAAGAGAAACAGCAAGACCCCCTTCCCTTCCCTTCTTCTTCCCTAGTACCTACCTACCTACCTACCAACCCACTCACCACGTGCATACGATTTTCAACCCGTAGATAAGTTCAATCTCCCCTTTCCATGCCGAGCCCAAGAAAGAAAATAAACTTGGTAGATATAGATATATAGATAAATGAATCGACAGACATGAAAAAAACTCTCTAATCCTTAATTCCCAATCCCCAAGCTTAACAACTATCTACTTTTCACTCCAGCGAAAAATATATATATATCCTCTTTCCTTTTCCCTTCTCTCCTCTTTTCTCTATGTCATACCACTATCAATAACTACAACTATAACTACATCTCCCATCTCCCATCTTTCATTTCCTACTCCTATTTTTCAAAACTTTCACTACACACAACAACCCCAATCTCTAAACCCCAACTCCTAAACCCTAAACCCCAAACATATACCAGCAATAAAACATAAAACATAAAACATAATAAAGAATAAAGAATAAATCCCCGGAATCCTCCAAAACCTACCTAGTATCTATACACAACACACAATATACAACACACAGCACACAGCAAAAACTGAGTTCCTCTCAGAATATAATTCATACCTATCTACCTAGGTATTTATAAGATAGCTCTGGAGATGATTAATATAATATATCTATATATATATATCTATTGATTATAATCAGATATTATTCCATTTCCCATATATCCATATATTCACATATTCATCCATTCATCCATCCATTCATCTCCTCTTTCTCCTCTTTCTCATCTCCCCTCCAAACCCTCCCTCCCTCTCTCCCACCCTCAGCACTCTCAATCCCTACAATCCACACCCCAAAACTCCACATCTCACAACCTCCTTCTCCTCCTCCTCCTCCCCCCCATCCCCCATCCCCCCTCCAAACCCTCTCTCCACCCCCCCCCCCCCCCCCCAAAAGAACAATCCCAATTAATCTAAACCAAATCTAATCCCAATTAATCCAAATCTAAACCAAACCAAACCTAAATCAAAACAAACCTATCAAATCAAACCTATCAAACCAAACCTATCAAATCAAAACCAAACCTATCAATACAAAACAAAACAAACTAAACACATCCAATTACACATCCAATTACATAGAAAATACAATATAAAACTCTTCACTCACTAAATATCTACTATTTATATTAATCTATTCATTTATTCATCTATTCATCTATTCATCCATCTATTTATCTATTCATCCATCCATCTATAAGATTACACAATTATCAAAAGAACAAATCGTAATGCATCTATCTACCTTTCCATATACTCATTTACCTATATACTCATCTATTCATATACTCATCTATTCATTTAACTCCTTCCCCCTTCCCCATTCCCCCTTCCCCTTTCCTCCCACATCCTCTTCACCAACCAACCAATCAATCATCATCCTCCACCCAAACCACTACACACTCATACGATACAATAACAAAGCTCAAGCCAAGTCCAAGTCCAAATCTCAAAGGAAGTGAGAACCTCAAATATACCTAGTATGCACCCCTCATTTTACCAAGCCAAGACATTTCACAAGAGACGCAACAAACAGACGTAACGAAACAAATAAGCTTAAAGGAAGAAGAAAACTTTTATAAACTCTCAACGAATATTTCAACTACACAACCAGACAATGATAACTCCGTGTAATGTATACATTATACCTATGTAGCATGATAACCGTAACCGTGTAGGCGTGCCGATATAACCTTCTCCTCTACCCCTCAAAGCCTTTTCAACAATTGCCGCCACGCCCCAGGAATATATCGTTAGATCTAAGATGTGATAACCTAGGATAGGACAGGATCATGTCAAAACATGTACCACAATATTTTGCTCATCCCTTCATTTTCATACCCACGCCCATCCACGCTTTCTGTCATTTCCAATCACCAACCTATCATCCCATACATTATGTAAAGACCTGAGATTCGTATCCGCCTCATATATACTGCCGACACACCTTCTACCGCTCCGCCCCTTTAAACAATGATGAAAATTAAATAACCTCCCGAAACCTCACTTAAGGATTGTAATTGTTCATAACTGCCCAAAAACTATCCTGACCCAAATCTCCTTCAAATTGCCACGGTTCAGGTTGCGCATACAAACTTGCGTCTTGGAAGTTTTGATATGGCAAATCATAATTGGTTCCTCCAAGGTTCGTACTCAAATCATTGAATATAAGATCATGCATTGGTTGTAAAGGAGCAATTGAAGAAAGATCAAAATTGTGTGGCATAATATTATTGGCTCCTTGAAATTCCCAAGCAGCTGGTATATTGGGATTTGGTGAGGTCAAGTTTTGTATTGTGGGAAGATTGTAATGACTTCCATTGACAGAATTTGCCGAAGATATGGT